CTTCAGGGCTTACAGGATCTTTTCATCCAACCTTTCCCAGGATCATCATAGAGACCCAGAGTTGTGACTATCCCCATTTTACAGATGTGAAAACTAAGGCCCAGGGAGACTGAACAGCCTATCTGAAGTCCTCACACTGGTGAGGTGTAGAGCTGGCATGTGAACTTGGGATGGCCTGACACCTACCCTATTAGTCTCAACATGCAAGACACACCGTCCTAAACTTTCTAGGGCACAGAAACCCGCCAAGGAGCTGGTGGGGGAGACAGACAAACATCCAAAATAACAATGCTGAGTAAAATACCTGTATGAGTCATATGTCTGTCTGGGAGGCAGACCTGCCATTTACTGCTGAACCCAGGATGATGTCTGAAAAGTAACTTCAAGTCAAACAAATCTTTAGAAGAAATTACAAATGAAATAACTTTTTCTCAAAAGGTCCACAGAGTGCCCTTCATTACCTCTCCTACCCTCTGGTGACCATGTACTCTACTTACTTCTCAGATTATGGGACCCTGCAGTGTGTGTGTGCAGGGCAGCCCTCCTGTGCCAAGTGTTGTCAGAGTGCGGCAGGTGGTGCTGGTCACCCCTGTGCAGGCAGGAACCTCTAGAATCTGGTCTCCTAAGAACCTTACCCTAGCAATGGTGGTGAATCTGTGGCACATGTGTTATTTGTTTTTCTTTTAAGACAAAAGATGTGAATGAATACAAATGAAAGCCTCAGTATTGAGGTTGAATTGCAATGTTGGCACTTTGTGGCAAATAATTGGGATTTGTGTATCTAGAGTGCCCAAGAGCCAGTCCAGTAACAAGTTCCATGCCTGGATCTGCCACTGACTAGCCCCAGACTCCTGGACAAGCCATTTCTCATCTGCAAAAGGAGGAAACTATCTTCCCAGATGGTAGTCTTGAGCATAGAATGAGACAATGTACAAAGAAGGCACTCATTCAATGCCAGTGGCCATGCTGCAACTTCCTGATGGGATGCCCTTTGAGCTCACAAACACCCTCCACATCAGGGATCACTGGTCCTCCTTCCCAGGAGGGAGCTGAGGCTCCCAAGGCAGGTCCAATCCCTGTACTCGCACTAGGCCTTCAGAGATGTGAAGATGCCAAATCTGTGCCCTATTTCCATCCAGCTCTGCATCTCTCCCCCAATCCTTGGTCCCTTCCTGGGTGGTTCCCTTCTTTTTTTTTTTTTTTTTT